CCCACAACGCGTCGTTTCCCATTTGCCTTCCACTCGCAGGCCTGACATGGCCTGGCGCGTAACGTTCCCAAATGGTCCCCTCAGTCTATGCCCGATCCATCTTCACTTTCTTCCGCATATTTGTTGGCTGGTTCTTCGTTAGATCGTTAACAGACCGGAGTTCCACTTTGCTTATTCTTATTATTCTGGCCATCTGTTCTTCAGAATCGAGTGAGCGTAGGCTGTAGCTGCTGATGATGTACGTCCATAGTTTGTTGGAAATGCTTTTCGTGACGCACTATGTCTCTCAACCATCATGGGAGCACTGACTTACTTGACTGACGTGAGTGTTGGAAATCTGGATCTTGTTCTTTATGCCGAGTGAAGTGCAGTGAGTCTCCACACTGATTTCAGATTAATGAAGGCCTTTCTCGCATTTTTGATCCGGCTGCTGTGTAATCCTCATCTGTGCCTGTGCTGCCACCTGTAGTTGAAACGATGCTGCCCTGACTAGGTAGGTGAAGGAGACTACTTCCTTCAGCTTTCTCCCGTTCATCGTGATTGGTACTTGTTGTTGATGCTGTTGTTCGTTAGGTATCTTCATCACCTCTGTCTTCTCTACGTTCACCTGAACGAAGTCCCGTCTTCACTGCTCTGCCTCACCTCTTCTGCCAACTTGTTGGTTTCGTCTGTAAATCTTCCAGTTTGTGCGACAGGACATTAGACATAAATCATCACCGGCGGCGAAATCGAAACCTTCTTCTGGGGTATTTTCAGCTGTCCAGCCAGCATATGTCCATCTTCTTGCTCCTCACGGTTTGCTGCATGATCCAGTCGACCACAATCAGGGCAATCATCGGTGATAGTAGGTGACAGCCTTGTCTTACTCCTATCTCCTGTCTTCACTTCAAAGGCATCAATGAGCTTTCCACTACTGTGTGAACCACTTGGCATGCAGTATCATATAGCATATAGCTGTTGAATGAGGTTGATAAAGACTAGTGGGACTTCGTAGTGTTGAATCAACTGCCGAATTACTTGGAGTGCACACAAACCATGAAAATGAATGGAGTCGTCTTACAAAGTTTGTCTCTCCAGGATGATGCGGCTTAATATTTCGCTCACTTGGGGTGGACAGGAGCGTGATTCCGTGCCAGTTTTTGCTAACAGTTAGGTCGCCCTTCTTCAGGAGTTTGACAAGGTAGTCCTTCTTCCAATCAGTTCGCAGGTATCTTCCCATCCTTCCAGACCTTCTGCAATGGTGGTGTGAGCATGTACGCTGTTGTCCCTCCGTCTGTTCTCAGTGCTTCTGGCTGGATTTCATCGGCCCCTGATGCTTTCCTGCATTTCAGTAGCTTTATAGCGTTCAGGACTTCGACTTTCGTCAAACGGCTTGTGTTTACTGGTAGTTCTGTGGCTGAAGGTGGCATTTCTGAACGAAGTGCAGGTGGTGGTCGATTCAAGAGCTTTTTGAAGTGCTTCATCATCTTCTCCCTTCTCAATCAGCTTCCATGTGTCCATCAAGATCCATTTCTTGTCCCGACTTGCTTCTTCTTCTTCTTCTTCCTTTCTAACACCGTTATGCAGGTTCCTTTCCACATCTCTTTCACAGAGTTCCAGTCTTCTTCCACACACCTTTCTTCACGGATCTTGCTCAATGTCTCCCACTTTTTCCTTGATGCCTGACTGATGTGAAGATGTCACCTGTAGTTTCGTCCTTCACTTCGGTCTCTGTTCTGGGTGTTCAACTCGAACTATGGTCTATCACCAACTTCTGTGAAGTGAAGGCTTTCAACTTGATTTCGAAGGTAGGCTCCTTGCACTAGATAGTGGAGTGAGTGGTGTGAACCTACATCTGCTCCTCTTCGTGATTTGATCTCGTGTCCAGTTGGCTGGCTGTGTCTCCACTTTGAAATGAAGTCGATCTGATTTCTAGTGTAGTGTGTCCTGGTGTCTGGTGAAATCCTTGTGTTCGTACACATTGCCCCACTCCAATCACCAAATCGCTGAATGCGCAGAATTCTGCAAACAGTTCTCCATTCTCGTTCTTCATTTCACCAAGCGTTTCTCGACCCATGATAAATTCTCTTCTTGTGTTGTCTGCTCCCTCCCAGTTTGGCATTCATGTCGCCCATTAGAATTTTGATGTTCTCAACTGCAGTCTTGTCCTGTACTGATTGTAGTTGTCTGTAGAATTCCTCCTTCTTCTCTTCATCTGAATTATTTGTAGGTCTATTGCGTAGAATTGTATGATTGTGACTTTCCTTCCTTTTGAGTTGAATCTTGCTGTGATGGTCCTGATCCTGCAGGAGGAGATTCGTTCTCACTGCATGATAGAGAGCCTTCGATGCTTTTCAAGGGACATCATGATGGCCACTCCATAACTCAGTGTGCTGTGCTCGTAGTTGTCGTCTGGGTGACAATATCGGAGTAGATTATTGACTCTGAAGTTGACAGATGGGAGAGTCCACTCCCATTCCATCTGCATATTCCTCGCAGACTCCAAGCACTCCTATGCTATACCTTCTCATCTCCTTGGTAATCTGGACAACCTTGCTAGGTTCATACATGTTGTGGACATTCCATCTCCGCATGTTTACTTTCGCTTCCATCGAGAGAAGGGAAGACACATCGGCCAATTGGCTTGCTAGAGACGTTTACCAACCGGCGTCATTTCGTCCCCCGATTCCAGCGAGGAATAAGTTTGTTTTTATTTCTTTTGTCTTCGCTTTGAAGTTTCTGTAGCGGTTGTATTGGTTTTCGGGGTAGGGGTGCTAGCCCTATGCCCAACCGTCCCTCTTTATCCGGGCTTAGGTTCGTTTAGTAAACTGATCAACTATGAAACTAGGCGAGGTTGAATTCTCTCTTATGGAAACCCAATTCTCGTAACATTAGTGATCTTGGCATGGATAGAGACATCGTCTCTCCATTAAACGTCAGATATTATTGCTGCTGGGTAATGCGCTATTGCTTTCGCTCATACAATTTGGACTTAAGAACCGATGTTACAGCATCTCTCATCAAATCGCTGTCGCGCAACATTGGTCTACTTTTCGGTGTTTTATAGAATTTTCCCCCGACTGCATTTGCTTCAGCACCATTGGACTCAGCACTTGCCGGTTAGAGGCTGTCTCCTTGTGCGTATTTTCGCATCAACAGCATTTCTACAGCTTTCCATATGGAGGCAGACGGTTGCTTGCATTGAAAGGCGCACAACTAGGTCCAAACCGATCTACCGCAGCGCTTATTTATGGCTGATGTCAGTTCAATAAACACTGTGGGACCAGCATCCATGTGCATCGCACTGCATACCTCCATCATCAGTGGAGTGGAAGTCAAGTCAGTCGTAAATGTGGTCATAGTTATTCTATTTTTCATAAGTGACGAGAAGTTCAAACCATGAGTAAAACTCTTATTTAGTCTTGGTGGATCAAACTGACAACATGCACTCAACGACATCAAAAGACGTTTTGACAACGTTAATACTCAAAAATGTTCGAAAAACTGAAAATGTTCGGTCGAACGTCTATTGCGAAAACTTAAGTCTCAACAAAGAGATTTGCAGAAAATGTTTTGACGAAATACTTTCCACAACGTTGAGTGTTATAAGAGGCCACTCAGAGACTAGAAAACGATAAGTGTTAAAACACCTGCCGAACCTATTCGTGTGTGTGTAGTTTACGCGAAAGGGCCGAATTAATCTAAGGTGCGGAAAAAATGAATGACTTTAAGGGCCCCCCAGTCAGCTGCAGAAGTGAACAGTTAGGTCCCTCGATCATAAGAAAATCCACCTTTTAACCGAAATAAGTTAAACTGGTCATTTTGGTGGTTGTTCAGGGGTCCTTGAGAATCAGTTCGGAGTCAGTCTCCATAGTTCTAGTCACGCTGGGTGCTTACTTTCAGTTCTGAAGCATGAGAATCATATTCAGTCACCTCCAAACTGGTTTTCATCAGTGGGTTGTAGTACCTAGTTGGTGGTTTGGAAGTTGCCTTTGTGGGAACTTGACAAATGTAGAAGCCAGCCACAAATCGCTCCTGCTCGTAATATACCCACGAATACGAGATCAAGGAAGAACGCGATAGCGTGGTTGAATGGAGTAATATATTTTGGAGGTCGTACTGGAGTGTCGATTACTAGCAGTGCAACGTAACACCATGGTGTGCCAAATATCGTACGTGGTTGGCCAGGTTCCCTCAGCTTGGCAAGTTTAATGAAACTGTGAAGATTAGCATCAATGCTGAGTCTTGCTGAGCCCTAGGCTATTGAGTTAAGGGGAAAATATTACGCTGAAGGTTAATAGGATCACTAGGGCTCTGACTCCGTCATGAGCATCATCTTTAGTCCACCGCTGAAGCAGCCCGGCTGAAGCTAATGAGACACATCACACGAATTTCCTTCGATACGGCCATAGTAGGCGGCATCAGAGCCACGAAGGAATTAAGCTATATAGGGATTTGAAGAACAGCTAGGCCACTCGATAAAAAGACTAGCAGTGAAATCGCCAAGAAACTGACTGAGTGTACCACTTCCTACAAATAAAAACAATGGTTCAAAGTCAGAGGACAGGGTCTAAAAATATCTTCAGGCATATGCTGGGCCAAAACCGAAAATCATGGATGGCAAGAAATCACAATAATCATGATCTGTAGAGAAAGAACAGAAATTAAATTTTAACTACATACTTTGACTACACAGTATCAGGCTTTACTTCTACCGTCTAGGTACTTTTGAGTTTTCAGATCCCATTCTGGCAGAAGAGGTTCAGACTTCTTCCTCTTAACTTCGTAAACATGGACTTGATGTCAAATTTCAAGGTAACAGAGAGTTCAGTCAGTAGTAACTTGCTCTTCCTCCGTTGATCGTTTCTTCTCTTTAACTGCCTTTCACGTTAATTTATATGCTAAGGAAATTATTTATTTCTACTCCTAGACGTGAAAATCTTGTCAGACAGATGATATTTCCATTCCATCAAACACTATCTGAAATGAAGACTTAGCACATAGTTTAGAGGTTACAAAATAGTTAACCGCCACTTTCAGATATCGGTGGGACTTTTGCAATCTGACTATGTCTGTATGTCGTCTTTGTTCAGAAGTTGCTTATAAATTCATTCATTATATATCTGTTGTTCATTTTATAGCGTTAGTGCTTCACTAGAGTTTTTTCATCTGTTTCAGTTGGTTCAGCGATTCGAAACTGAGTCATTTAGTCATCAAAACGAGGGGCCATGTGGAAAAGTGGCATCGAAAATTTGGAACAATGTTGGAAAGCCACGAGTTTTGCCCCATGTTTTTTCTACCGTTCGTTTCTTTCAGTTTTCTCCGTGTTCTGAAAATGGCCTACGTTTTTCTCTTCGTTTTCCCGCAGAATGTTGACTGGGCAGTTTTCAGTAATAAATGTTGTAGGCCAACTGGTTTGCCTTAATCTTTTGGGTAGATTTATCCACTAAAGTATAATTTCTCCTCAAGTGTATTCAACGGAGCAGCCGATACCACTTGTTGGGGTTAGGAATTCCGGTCGTTGACAATTCTATGTGAGAAGCATAAACTCATGCTGAGTTGGTTTATTCGTAGGTTTTGAATTTTCTTTTGGTGGCCTCAAAGATGATCCATTTTTAAGAGAAAGAGAAAGATAAGACATCAGTCAATAGGTTATTGTTAGGAAGATGGGCTGATTATATAAGGTTCTCTCCCCTCTAGGAATGGATAAAGGACTTAGTATCGAAAGGGTTCTCTTATGATACGCTAGACAGATCAGCCGCCAACTTAGCACCAAGTCGTTTAACTCGTTCTGGTGCTTTAGCATCTTTTATGAAGCTAGGACTGATCGTTTGAATGCAGCATTCGAGATGGAGCCGCACATAGGTGAGGTGCCATATCCGAAATATGTCTTCCCCGAAGCAATTGTATGCTCTACAAAGAGACCACAATACCCGGGACCATTGTGTTGCATCTTTAGTGGAATTTGTAGATGTTTTCAAGTTATGGCCGATTATGACTCCCAAGTCTATAATTTCCTTGACGTCAGGTATTAGTATCCCATCTATCAGATACTATCAGCTCTTGTCTTACGCCTAAATACATATATGAACATTCTTGTGGTATATTTAGGTATCTGATGAAGTGAATTCGTGCCATAAGCTTGTCTTTCGCTGACCAACATTTGTTTGTTGATTCGGTTGACAAATTTTCCTCTTCGTTATGGAGAAGGTACTAGGTTTATTGTCATTAACGTTCTGTGATCATTTCCAAGGTAATCAGCCTTTTTAGCTAATGCTAGGGGTACTTGAAGATAAGTGACAGTTTGGAAGAGGGTTCTAGATGGCTATACCAAGACATGGCACCAATCCATGATGTCTCTAACTGTTGCTTTGAGTAATGTCGGTAGGTGTAAAATGCCTGAGTAGGCTTCTCGAGACAATGAAAATCAGTAGTTCAAGACCGTTTATCAAAACCCATCACGGTGGTGCAAACGTACTCGCTCTTTGGTGTCTTCTAAAGTTTGAATATTCTCACCAACCATGATTCAGGTAACTTTTTCTCGATCCATTTGCATGTTACTGTGAAGCGTGGTAACTTGGAGCGATGCATTTCTGTTTAAGGTTTTAATTGGATTTTATTTGATATAACTGGAAATTCGGTCCATTTTTTTATGACAGTATGTTTTGAAGTGTGATGTCTTTGAACTCCTGGTGGATAGGATGGCTATGATTGGATCCTGAATCTTTCGATAAAAATTAGACAGATGGTTATCCAGATAGTTTCTTGGTTAAATTCGCACTCAGTGTTGATTAACAATGATGTTTGCGTTAATGTGGTCGGTGAAGTCAAATTGTTATATGATTAACCAGTTAATATATTCAGCGTACCGTCCAGGAGTTTCTGGACTTCGCTTAAGTGTATTTTCCTTCCGAAAAATAGGTAGGACTATTACTATCCATCCAAACATGACCACAGAATTTGTATGAGAGTTTATCATCAGTCATAGGATCCCGGGCAGTTAGTCACATTGTTACAGCCTGTTTCATGATCTGTTTAAACAGCATGTCACTATAAGGCAATAAATATGAAGGTTTTCTCTTCTGGACTGTTACGTATTGTATTGCTGGGAAAACCATGTTCGGTGAAGTAAAGTTTCAACTCTGAAATAATGGAGAATATTTGTAGCTCAGGTGAATGATCTTGTTTGTATTGTGTTCTCTGAGCTGGGTTGTTTAATCGTGAAGCTTTCATCGCCTTGCTAGACGACATGATCATCAACTCTTTCTTACTGTGTAGGAATATTTTTCAAGTGATACTTGTATCTTTTGTTTCTTCGTTGATAGAAAAAATTAAGTTTCCACCATTGATTACTAAACTGGCACAGCGGTTTGTCGTTTCTCTGCCTGAAATTCTTTGCTTTCTGTCTTTGCAATATAACGTTTGAATACATAAACAGTATTGCAGAGACAAAAGGAAACGAGGACCTGCTAAAACTGTATAGTGGTCATAGTATCCACACCCCAAACAACCAGCATTTAAAGCCGCTGCTTCTTTGGAGAAAAGGTTGAAAGTGGCTGACCCTAAAAATAACACACCACATACTGGCTTGATTCCAGTACCAGCTTTAAGGGTTTTTCTTCCTACATGGACATAAGAGTAAATAACACTACCTTTTTGACAGTTAATGAACAAACTAGGGTGGAATGACGGTTGACTTTGAGAAAAATGTCTAATTAGACCGTTTGTAACAGAAATCTAACACCTCTCTCTTTGCCGTGAATCCAAATTCTTACTAGTTCACTTTCTTCAGGTTCCTCAAAAAGTAACTTTGCGGTGTGAGTAGCCGGTAAGTATCGAATGCTGTCATACTTCTGTCAGCACTTCAACCTCTTCTAACTACCATCAGACTACTTCATTTCCTTCTAAGTTTTCTTCACATTTCTGTTAATTCTCTATCGCGAATCTGTCCATCTAGATCTCGGTAGGTTTGGGGTGTGGTTTGATACCGTGACTTACTGATTAAAAGTTAAGTACCTAGATCGAATCGAAATTGAATCGCACTCAGCAATCTTGTGCATATTCATGCAATAGACAGTAAGCCACACCTATTGTGAGAAGGCTGACTGACTCCCCAAACCTCGATAATTGGAGCTGGGTTCAAACCCGTAATCCACTAGTTGAATCACCTGCCCAAACCAATGGTCCATAGCTCCACAAAATCCAACTCTGAAGTTCATGATGATTCGAATTTTCACGATAGCATCTCCGGTTTCCTGAGACCGTGCTCTGAACTACTTATTGAAGCTTTCAATGTTCACACAACCAAATCGGACAGCAAACTTCGGTAGCCGGGATTCTGGCACTTCAGCTCATGGATGTGTGCTGTTTCTGAAGTGCATACGGGACTCAGGTGTAGTTACACAGTATACTTCACACTTTCATCTTTGCGAATCTGCAAAATTCACTCTTCAAGCTTTTAAAAGTTCCCTGGCTAGTCCTTGTGGTTTTGCAGGTGCAGGCATGACGCAGATCTAAAGCAAAAAGTGTGCTAGTTGTTTGAATCCTAGTTGACAATCACCATTGCACTGTTTAGCTGAATGGTGTTGTGAGTACTAAGAAGAGCAGTGGGACTAGCCTTTGCCCCTTTGTGATCTCGCCTGACATCCACAAATTGCACTTCAACTGAAGATAAAGATTAGTTCTACTGGAAATTGTCTGGCCTTCTACTTAAAGCCAAACGTTCATATGTGGGTGTCATAGCGAGTGATTTCAATACACAGGTGAATTGGGCTAAGCCAGACAGAGTGGACTTAAGTGACACTTCTTAAGTCTTAGTTGAACAAACGTAACGGCGAATAGCCGATATAACTAAGAGCAGACAACCTTATATTTTTGGCTAGCTCGAACTCCACATATAAAGATGGACATTTTCTGACGTGGTGTTCACTAACTTCAACTCATTGATGGACATACCGTTTCACAATAAGTTATTGCTGGAGAGGTTTGGTTAAAGATTGCCACTCCTTCTGGAAAACGTGTTTGAATAGTAATCATGCGTTAGTTGGAGAACGCCTGGACCTTTATCATAAACGTGCTTATAGAGGTCTCCCCGTCGTCGTCTGACTTCACAAGGATCTATCTTACCATAGAATCCTTGGTAGATCTGGGGTACGCAGATGACATAGTCCTGTTAAGTGAAGACTTACCAAATACAGAGTCCTACGGACACGTTGAGGGACAGTTTGGAAATGAGATGTTTCTCACCACCTAACTGCAAATTATTTCTCCATGGCTGATTTTCATCGGTGCCTCAGGTAACAGTCGAGAGTGAGCTGGTTGACCACTTCACTTAGCTGGGTCGATGGCGGACGAGATCTTTACACGGGAACAAAAGACTCGATCGGCTTCCGCCAACTTATGCCATCTGTCGCGGCACCGTGGTATCCAATTGTCGATCATGGATCGAGTGTGCTGTGCGGCGGTTCGCTCCGGTCTGCTGTTTGGTTGTGAAACATGACCTCTAAAGGTAGAGGATGCGTAAGGGCTTCAGTTGTTCTACCGCCGTCGTCTTTGTGGCATTAGTCGTATGTCTTTGGTGCCACAACATCAGTAGTGTAGAAGTCAGGTTTAAGGTTTTATGGGGGTGAGAAAAGTCAGGTTGATGAGTTTGTGAACCTTTATCGGCTCAGGTGGCTGGTGTATATATGTGTTACGCACACCTAGTCACTGTCTTCTTCGTCGCACAGCGTTGATTGAAGAGGGTTCAGGTTGAAAAACGGTTAGCGAAGGTCAAAATAAAATATGAGATTATTGCATGAAGCCTTTGGCTGTTGTTCTGAGCTGTGTAAAGAAATGTAGACTTCGCGGTTACGTTTGCGTGACAACAGGCCAGTGGTTGTTGACTCTAGGTGACGGCTCAGAATCCATGTTTCCCCACAGTATCCTTATTTTAATCGGTAAACCGAACTGATTATTTTCTTCTTCCCATCTTTTACTACTTTTGACCGATTCATTATTTATTCTATCATTTATCTTAGTTTTCTCGAGCTTGATATGCTGGTATGAGGTGTGGCATCTTGGACCTTTACATAG